TATTTGTTTAGCTATGTATTCATTCATCTATCCAAGAAACATCCCCTAATATGTCCATATTATTGAGCTGAATTGTATGAAGGATATCTTCTAAGAGCATGTAATCTTGTAGTATTAGTATCAATAATATAATGGCTATTGATAAGATTATATTATATAATATAATCAATGTTAAGAATATTACATTTTCATATTAACATAATAATATGGAAATGTAAAACATAAAATTGTAATACTAAAAATAGTATAGCATAAGAAGTGTTGAGGTGGAATTTGCTGTGGGATCACACAAAAGGGAATGAAATCGGTTAGGAACTGTGAGAACTGCTTATGGGGGTAGGACTGTAGCACTGGGTTTGGGACCCAGGGTTGCTCAGGGGTGAGCTGATGAGGCTAAAATGTTCTGCAGGAACTGCAAGGGCGCAGGTTTTGAAGTGCCAGGCTCGGCATGCGTCATACTGGCTTGGAGGATGCTTGAAGGGAAGCCAGGGCATGACCCCCTAGGGCAGCATGGGAGAAGCAGGAAGCGAGGACGGTCTGGTAAGCTGGTAGCCCCTGGTCAGCTGGTGCTGGGCGAGCATGGAGCACAGAGTGTGTGCTTCTTTCCTCTGACCACAGCTGCTTTGTTCTCGGAAAGCATCCTGTTTTATAAGCAGGGTCATGGAGGCATGGGGAAGCCAAGCAGCTGCCACTGTTGCCCTGGGGTTGGCAGCAGTGAGACGTGGCCTGCAGCTGCCCTGCTCTCCAGCCTGAGTGCCCAGCCTGTGCGGACGTGCAGTGGTGGTGCAGGGTCAGTGCCCTCTCATGGCCCCTCGCAGGAGGCTGCTTGCTGGATGGTGCCAGCTCGGCCAGGCGTTCTCTGGGTCTCTGCTCAGGCTCCGCTTTCTCAGAGGGCTGGAGGAGGCGGATGACACAGAGAGCTTCCCTCCCACTCCAGGCCCTCCTCAGGGCCTGCCTGGGCAGGGAGGTGACAGCAGTCCCTGACAAATCCCACCCTTCTTTCACACACAGCGGGTGGATGTGAGGGAAGGGGTCCCTCCAGCCCTTACCTCTGAGCACTTGCCCTGCAGAGCTGCTGCTATTATCTGTCAAGGCTGATTTCTCTGGGGTGACAGCTTTGACTGCACGTCTCCTTCTTTAATTGAGTCTTTGTCACTCCATTGATGGTAATTTACACATCCAATAACTATTGTTAAAGTGGGATGGAGGTGTAGTGATGTTGGCTGGGGCGAGGGAGCTGCTGAGGCTGAGACCTGGTGGGAGGAGCCGTCTCTGACACGGGGAGCCTTGGGAGCTGGGCTGCTGCAGGCTCAGGCTGGGGTGCTGCACAGTTTGGTCCCTTGTTTGCCAAACATTTTCTGAGATCAACCTCAGTGTAAGGAGGGCGAGGATATAAGGATGAATAATAGATGGTCCTTGTTTTCGAGGACTTTCCAGTCTCATGAGAGAAAGAGACATACACAAATAACTAGACTGGAGACTGCATATGTGGTCAGTCACAGGCACATCTGCACTCTGGGGTCTGGGAGCTGAACAGCCACCCGCAATTCAACTACATTCAATTTAATTGAACCATCTGTTCTGGGCACCTATTTCTGGGCGAGCCCAGTGTAGTGATGGGCTGGGGGTGGGGAGGAACAAAGGCACAAAGACTGATGCTGCTTTCCTCCCTCCTCTTTCTCTCTGTCTACCCTCCACCCTCTGCCCATTCTCACTCTCTCTCCCTGTCTTCCCTCCTGCCGTCTGTCTGTGGTGGGCCCTGTACTCCTGGTTCTGTGCTTGTCTCTGGGGCTGGAATGGTGAGCTAACACATTCTCTGTCTTTGTCCTTGTGGAATTTACTGAAGTGTGTGGGAGACACAACCATTCATCAAATAAGCACTCACGTATGTAATGGGGAGCTGTACTCAGGAGGAACTCAGGGAGCTTTGAGCATGACCCATGGGACCAAGGCTCATTTGTGGGCCATGGGGGTCTGGGCATATGCCACAGAACCATGGAGCAACTGAAGACCTCTTTTTCCTTATCGTGGATATGTATGCTATATTTATACATTGGTGTATATATATATATATATATATATATATATATATATATACATATATATATATACTTTAGATATATTTATATAAATTAAATTGTAACCTACAGAATAAGACTTCTGGCAATGAGAATGTATCTGTTCAAAAAGCTGAACAGCCATAGAAAATGGAAATTCACTCTCAAAGGTTTTACATATTCAAAGGAGTCCAGGAAAATATAGAATAAAAACATGGATGAATATTTGCATAATCTTTGGGTGGCTAAGGCCTTCCAAAAGCATGAAGGAAAAGATAGATCGTTCTGATCATATAGAATTGTAAAGCTTTAGAAAACCACAAGCAAAGGTCTTTCACCTTCTGCTTCACATGTGACATGCTGGTGGTGACGCTAGGCTGGTGAGGGCCGTTCAACTGGCCTGCAAGTTAGAACATGACAGCCTACCACATCAGAAGGCAGACAGCTGCCTGCCTGAGTCTCCCAAGGCTGTGGACCCTGCCACTGACTTCCCTGGGACCAGCTCACCCCTTCCCCACATCCAGGAATTTATAGATTAATGTCTGCTGTGGTTTGAATGCATCCCCCAAGGTTCATGTTACCAAAACTTAATTCCCAATGCACACTTTTGAAGGGTGGGATCTTTAAGAGGTGATTAGGTCATGAGGACTCAGCCCTCATGATGGATTAGTGCCCTCATCTCAGGGTGGGTTAGTTATCCTGGGAGTGAGTTACTATCTCAGGAGTGGGGTACTTATCTTGGGAGTGAGTTACTTATCTTAGGAGTGGGTTACTTATCCCAGGAGTGAGTTACTCATCTCAGGAGTGGGTTAGTTATCTTGGGAGCAAGTTACTATCTCAGGAATGGGTTAGTTATCTTGGTATTGAGTTACTTTTCTTAGGAGTGGGTTAGCTAACCCAAAAGTGAGTTACTCATCTCAGGAGAGAGTTAATTATCCTGGGAGTGAGTTTACTCATCTCAAGATAGCATTAGTTATCATGGGAGTGAGTTACTCATGTTGGGAATGGGTTAGTTATCTTGGGAGTTAGTTACTCATCTTGGCAGTGGGTTAGTTATCTTGGGAGTCAGTTATTCATGTTGGGAGTGGGGTTATTTATCATGGGAATGAGTTACTCATGTTGGGAGTGGGTTAGTTATTGTGGGAGTCAGTTACTCATGTTGGGGGTTATTTATCATGGGAATGAGTTACTCATCTTGGGAGTGGGTTAGTTATCATGGGAGTCACTCATCTTGGGAGTGGGTTAGTTATCATGGGAGTCACTTACTCATCTTGAGAGTGGGTTAGTTATCACGGCAGTGGGCTCCTGATGAAAGGATGAATTAAATCCATGTTCCCTCTCTTTTGCTATCTTGCACTCTCTTGTCCTTCCACCCTCTACCATGAGATGATGCAGCAAGAGGGTGCCTGCAAGATGAGGTCCTCTTGACCTTGGACTTCCCATCCCCCAGAACTGTAAGAAATAAGTCTCTGTTCTTTATCAGTGCCCCAGCTTGTGGTATTCCATTGCAGCAGCACAAAACAGACTTGGATAGTGACTTCAGGATGCTGTTCAGGTGCTGCAGCTGACTTCCATCCTAATTGGTTGATGCCCATGCCACACAATTGTTAAAATATCTTGAATTTCACCCTATCCTTAACATAGTATTATTGAATATTTACTATGTGCCAGGCACTAGCTTGTGAATGTTGGACTCACTAACATATTATGCTCATAGCTCTGGCAAGGAGATATCAGTACTATCATTACTATCCAAGGTTACAAATGAACAAACAGAGACATGGAAAGCTCAACTCTTTCCTGGGCTTATGTAGATTTAGAAAGGTGGTGAGAGGTTGAGTCTGGACAGTCCGACTTTGAGCTGATGCTCTACCACTGAACATCATTGCTTCTTTCAAATCAATAAGAAGAACGACCCAAAAGAAAAATGGGTGAAGGGCTTGAACAGGTAATTTGCACATACAAACATACAAAAGAGATACAAATGCACAATTAACCTATACAATATGATATTTGAGTGAGGATGCTCATCCTCACTAAAAATTAAAGACATGCAAACACCAACAATAATAAGATATTTCATATTATTATATTGAAAAGAATTTTAAATAGACAAAGCCTCATGTTAGAGATGCTATGAAGATTTGGATAATCTTAAGTGCTCTGAGGGAGTGTTGTCATAACAATTGGGGGCAGTTTGGTACTGTGTATTAAATGTAAATATGTTTACTCTCTGAATCAATGAGTTTGCTTCCAGGTTTACCATAAGTAGAAAATTACAATGGTATAAAGAGATACATATTTAAGGATGTTCATGAAAGTATCATTTATAATTGTAAAACAATGGGAACATCCAAAATGCCTATCAATAGTGAATTGGTAGAGCAAATTATTGGAGATCCTTACAATAAAACACTAACCCTTAAAGTTAGTGACGAAAATGAAGACTTGAGTGCTATGTTTCATGAAACGAGATCACAGAACAGCTGGTATAGTATCCTATAGTAGGATATATCCATGTCTACATGTAAAAGGGACTATTCTGAAAGGAAGGTCACTAAAAAGTCAGTGGTAAGTATCTTCAGGTCTGAGAGAGTTTTTTCTCTTTTTTTTGGGGGGGGATTTCACATTGTTTGAATTTTTATATGGAAAATATGTCACTTTTACAAAATAGCAAATATATTTAGTTAAAAATAAACTACCTGTAAGATATTGGTCATGGCATCTCCCTGAGTCTCTGGGAAGGTTTTGTGTTCCTTGAGAGCCACCTTTTCACCTGCAAGTTAAATCCCCTAACTGCTTGTGGAATCAGTTTGGTAGGTTATAGACAGCATTAAGAAACAAATCAAATACATAAAATTGAGGGTTATTTTGTGAAATAACAATAATTTGATAAATACGTCTGGGAGTCCCACTGTGAGGTAAAATGTTATCCTTTTCTAGGTCCAGAAGCCCTGCGTTGGAGTTTGCTAAAGAGGTCCTCCTGAGCAGCCTGCTTCCCAGGGTCCCCTAAGGAGCCCCTCCACAACCTCGAAGTAAAGGACATGGTGGGCTGCAGAGACTCTGGCTGTCTCCTCATGGCTTGCAGCATCCATACTGGCACTCACAGCTAGCTCTTTCTCCTTTCTTTTATCCAGGGCTCTGGATGAGCTGTGTGTGTTGAAACTGTTTCTCCCTTCAGCATCAGGTAGGATAGAAACACAGCTTTTCCTCACAGCAGCTTGCAGACGGCTACGCAGCTGGTGCCACAGAGTCGCACCCTGGTGCACGTTTGAGGAGAAGATGCAGGGCCGACTCATGAGGTTCTGTGGAGGATTTTTTAGTGCTTTCTCTGGACTAAATTTTACATTATGTTGATAATGACCCAAAAGAAAGCTATAGATAGGAAGACCTTGTATAGCAATAGGACTAATGATACTACTCATAAAATATTTTATAATTCAAATGCAATATGACCATTGGAAAAAACTTTATTAATTATGTTTTTATTTTCTGTATTTTATGATGCCCTGAGGACCCGGAGAGACTGCATCTCCCAGGGCTTGCTAAGTCCTGGCAATCACAAACCATTTGCCTGCCAGCAGGTCTTTCATATGCAAACCCACCAGGCTGGAGCTCCTTTGATCAGCATCCTGCAGCCTGGGACGCTGTCTCCCTGCCCTAATCACCCCAGGGCCGGGTGCGGGCAGCTAGAGACTGCCTGTGTAGCCAGAGCCCGCTGGAATCCTAAACTACCCAGGCCTAAGCCAGCCCAGCCGCTCACCTGCCTCCCCATTCCTTTTTGCCACTCCCAAGGATTTTGCCCAAGTCCTCCTGTCATCCCCGCCTCTGATTGAGCCTGGTGCTTCTCCACGTGGCCCTGAGTGGGGTTCCCTCTTGGGAACCCTAACAAACTATCTTTTCAAAGATAATCGTCTCCTGATCTGTTGGTCTTGTCATGTCCAATTAAAACAAATCTTGGGTACATTTTAAAATAAGGGTCAGTCACCGCCAAGCTTTCAAAATTCCCAGATTATTCAGAAATATGAACAGCAGGCTCAAGCCACTGAGGATTTACATCCTCATTTTGCTAATACTTTTAAGACCACAGAGAACTTATTCTGTGAGCAGAGGAGCCACCTGGAGGGTGGATGGCATTTAAAACACACTAGAATAAAGTCCTGGGATGGGATAGTCATGGTCTTGATGTTTCCTATGGGAGTTAACTCAAAGGTCTGGATTAAGATGCTTTTCTGGGCTGCATATTTGTGAGAGCAGTCATCTGTGGCCCTGAATGCAAGTGGGGATCACCTCTGCCTGTGATGAGCTGGCAATGGAAGTGATACCCTCTAGATAATCTTTTCTCACAGGCCTCTTGCTGCAGGTGCTCAGCCTCCTGACATCCTTTCTTATTACAATGAGCACATACCTGGAGCTGTGTTGTGCATGGGCTGTGCTCACTCTTTCATGGAAAAGCTTCTCATCTTCCTTGCAAAAGGATGGTGTAAAAGCTTTCGGGCCAGTTCACACCAGGGAGAGTCTATGCTGGAAGCATTCATGCTGCTAGAACAATTTGACAACAGGAAATTGTCAGCTGATTTCCTAAGCTCCTGGGAGCTTACAAGGGGAGTCCAGGATCACTCCTTCTGGATTCAAGCACTACACCAATTCGCTTACAAAAGAGAAAGGTTCCAGGAGAACACGACTGATGCATAGAAACATCACAGCAAACAAGGTCATCAACACTTTCCCACATCTGTGGGCTGATCCTAGTGGCCCTTAGTGGAATACTATGCAGCCATAAACAATAATGAGTTCGTGTCCTTTGTAGGGACATGGATGAACCTGGAAACCATCATTCTCAGCAAACTGACACAAGAACAGAAAATCAAACACTGCATGTTCTCATTCACAGGCGGGTGTTGAACAATGAGAATATATGGACACAAGGAGGGAAGCATCACACACTGGAGTCTGTGGGGGGGAAATGGGGAGAAACAGTGGGGGGTGGGGAGTTGTGGAGAGATAGCATGGGGAGAAATGTCAGATATAGGTGAAGGGGAGGAAGGCAGCAAATCATGCTGCCATGTGTGTACCTATGCAACAATCTTGCATGTTCTTCACATGTACCCCAAAACCTAAAATGCAATTAAAAAAAAAAAAGAAGGAGATGCCTGGTGGATTTCATAAGTACCCTGTGAAGCTCCTCTGTTTCCAGGCTCGACTTGCTGGATCTGCTGGGGCAGGAGGGGCGGGTGGAGTTGCGGGGACGGAACTTGCCACAAGACACTGTACACACACCTGTGCCTAACAATAGAACTTCCCTAGACCCCGATTTCCTGAATGTTGGGAGAAGCCATATTTCAACGATGTCTTGATGATAGGTGAAGTAGAGAGGTTGTAGGGGAAAACACATGTTGAGGATTGTCCCAGCAAAAAACAACTCCTGACCTGCCCTCCCAATATCAGGCCTGCATTCTCTCTGCACCATAACTGCCCACAGTACTGGGGGGCTTACCAAGTGCTTAGTTCCACACATGTGCACCTCTTCAGCCCTTATGGTGACTGCCAGTGTTCTTATCACAGCCTGTGGGCGTGTAGCCTCACCCAGAGGGTGACGAACTCGCCTGAAGTAAGTGCGTTGAGGGCCAGGGGATGGATTTGAGCTGCTCTGTCCCTCTCTGAAGTTCACACTCTTCACCCAACCCACGTTGCCCCAGTGGCCCCACATCTAGCCAAAATTCACCGCGTGCTCATTCCACACAGAGAGCAGGAGGGTCGAACTACAAGATTTGTTACAGTTTGCTACAGTTCCCTTCTGGAAGTAATTTAGTTCCGAGCGTATTTTCTGCTCTGCAGAGGCAGCCGTGACTGGCCACTTCATGTGCTCCTGGAGAACGCTCGCACCAGCCGTTTTCAGGAAAGTCAAGCAGCTGTTGACTTCTGAGCCTGGGCGAATTTGTGTGAAGAGCATAAGGCACTGTTTCTTAACCAAAATGCTTCCTCTTACAGTGCAGATGGGGTGTGCTTCTCTGCAGGAGGCCCCACGGCGTCCCCACCCCTCTGTGCATCTGTGCAGAGGATTCTCAGCTCCTGCCCTTGGTCCTATTTGGCGATGCTTGCCTTCCCCTTAATTATACAGTCATGAGCCGCCCTGGAATCACTGCTGCTCTAGATGGAGCCTGGATGCCAGAATGCAGCCTTAGCACGGGGCTGCGGGGCAGGAGTGTGCTAGGGGCTGCCGAGCCGGGGGCGTGGAGGGGGCTGCCCCGGGGCAGCGTGGGCTTGGGTCTCAAGGCCTCCGTTTGAGTAACAGGCTTTGAGACCTTACTTACTTTCCCTGAGACGCAGATTCCTCATCTCAAGTGCAGGGAAAATCATTCCAATTTCAGAGGATTTCTGTGAAAGTTAAATGAGATTAAAGAGGTAAAGTCCATAATGTGCTTAGCTCATGCTTGGCTCTCTGTCAATGCCAGTTGGCGTTACATTTTCTCCCCTCTCCCTCCCTCCTTCCCTCCTTCTTTTCTTCTGTTCTCCGTTTCTGTTTTCTCCCTGACCCCACTCCTCAAAGCTCTGGTGGGTTAGGACCAGAGGGGGAAAAGCTGCCCACCTTGGGCTGCACCTACACCCTCTTCATGCCAATGACATGTGGGGAAGGGAAAGGACAGAGGCAGACTCTCGCTCCCACCTCCCCCTAATACAAAGGGAATTCCTGGAGCTGGAAAACAAAGACTACCCCCATGAAAAGAAGACAGTACTCCTGCTGCAGTGTAATAAAGGGGAAAATAACCCTCAATGTCAGGAAACGCTGCACCTCCCAGCTCATATTTGTGTATCGGAAAAGTTAAATATTAAATTTGAGCTCAATTAAATGTGAACACAAACCATGGTCACCAAACCAAGTCCCGGGACAGGTCGTGTGAGCCCCTTGAGGGGGTCGTCCAGTGCTGTTTCAGAGAAATCTCTATTTCAATCTGTTCCTATATGTTTGTTATTGAAAAACAATAGACAATCGAAAAAACAAGTTGAACTTTTTGTGTTCCTTGAGCCCAGTCTTGAAGTGCCCTCGTGACTGTCCCTCATGCCAAACAACTTGTTACAAAAAGAGCTGGGGTTCCAGACCGCACCAAAGCTTCATGAGTCCTCTCCTGTCTGTGCACGGACGAGGGTAGGACTCTGGAGCCCAGACTGCTGCTTCCTGATCTGGTGGTAAATTCTCCATAGTCTGGTGAGTGTAAATATATATGTATGTGTGTGTGTGTGTATTTGTAGATATATATGTGCATGTGTATATATATATTTGTATATTTATATATGCATATTTGCCTATACATATTTGTGTATATATGTGTGTATGTATATATATTTGTATAGATGTATTTATATACATATTTACATATATGTGTGTGTATATATGTATATATACATATACACATATATATATACATATATATGTGTATATATATGTATATATACACACACATTACATATACATTTTCCCTTCTTCCCTTCTCATTGCAATTTGCTCATTATGTCATTTGCTTATTATATCTGCATTGCCCTTTACATGAGGTAAAGCTTATTTACCCTTAAGGGTATTGTGTGTGTGCCTTTTCTCCTCCCCTAACACCTTTCACACACAGAACAATTTGAAACTAGAGGTCCTTACTGCTGCTGGCTCACTCTTTCCAAGCATTAATTTTCTTTTTTCTTTTTTTTTTTTTGAGATGGCGTTTTGCTCTTATCGTCCAGGCTGGAGTGCAATAGCACAATCTCAGCTCACTGCAACCTCCACCTCCCAGGTGGAGGGAATTCTCATGCCCCAGCCTTCTAAGTAGCTGGGACTACAGGTACACACCACCATGCCTCGCTAATATTTTGTATTTTTATTTTGTGGAGACGGAGCCTCACTGTGTTGGTCAGGCTGGTCTCGAACTCCTAATCTCAAGCAGTCCACCTGCTTTGGCCTCCCAAAATGCTGAGATTACAGGCATGAACCACCGTACCAGGTCTTCAAGCATTAATTTTCTATTATGAATAAAATTAATGAGCTTAGCTAATTTCTGGTGCTCATAAAGTTGTTGCTTTTCATTACCAAGGTTAACAGCCTGCTGGTGATGTGGCCTCTGGCAGAGCGCCTACAGGGGGTGGGACTTGGCAGATGCTGCTCACTGGGGCAGAGGGGAAGTGAGGAGGAGTGTTCATAGCTGACCTGCACACCTCTGCCTGGCCCTGGGACCCCAAACGCTTGCTCCTTTCTCCTTGCCTTCTGCCAAGCTCCCCTTGTGTCTGATCTACAGCTTAACACTTCCCTCTCCCAGAGCCCCTCTCTGATGACCGCTGAGCAGGCATTAAGAACCCCTGCAGTGTCCTCCTAGCACTTGAGCATAGAGGCTGTGCCTGAGCCGAGTGTGATGGAGGAGACCTTCGGGCAATGCAGCACAGGGCTGTGGACATGGGACTGGGAAGGTTTTCTGAAAAGTGTGATAGTTAAGCATCTAGCATGGGAACTGCAGGATGAGTGGGAGTTAGTTCAGTGAGGTGGAGTGGGTGTAGGGAGGAAATGCTCCATGCAGGGAGTGTGCATCTGCATGTGCCTTATTCTGAGCCCAGGAAGAGCACAGTGTTGAGTTGCAGAACACTGGGAGACAAGCTGAAGCGGGCACATGGGCCTCTGTGGCCTGCTCTGGGCCTTGGGGCAGATTGCTATAGAACCAGGGCCTCCTCCATGTCTGTTTTGTGTCTCTTCTCACAGGGCATCCCTCTAGGCAGGGGATTGGCAAACCAGGCCCTGCTGGCCAAAGCCAGCCTGTTGCCTTTTCAGTAAATAAAGTTTTATTGGAATATAGCCACGTTCATTCATTTACACATTGCTCATGGCTGCTTTTGTGCTGTGACAGCAATACTGAGTACCTGCAACAGAACCCATATGGCCTGCAAAGCCAGCATGTTTACTATATGGCTTTCGACAGAAAAAGCAGGCTGACCCTGCTCTAACCTCTGCCTGCTGCTTGCAACAAACCTTCCTTATCTGGGCCTCAAATATTTCTGCCCTTTATTCTGGTGCATTGAGTATTTGTAGCTCAAGGTAAGGTGTTGAGAATTAGTAAAATTACAAACTGCAAAAGCAAACAGTTATGTTTTGATCTTGGCTTGACCTAGCCATTAATGATTATATAATAATGATGAGTCTAGTGATAGTAGTAAATGCAGGAATAATTTCTATTTATTCAGCAATTATCATGTGACAAGTTTAGAGCTGCACTTTTAAAATATATTATGTCATTTAAATTCTCACAAAGAAGTGTTGGATATAGGTATTTTTTTTAAACCCCCATTTTACAGATGTTAATATTGACACCAAGAGAGTAGGGGATGAGATTGAATCAGGTAAGAATCACATTTTACTTCCCGATCAATACATTAAACAAAGCAAAAGGTTTGTTTCTCACCCTTTCTGTAACAGAAATCTGGAAATGAGCAAACATAGCAGGTAACGTGGCAGCTTCCTGGATATTTATGTTCTGTGTTCTTATTATTTTCATTTTCAGGTCTTCTTGTGGACTAAAACAGTGAGTGTAACTCCACCTATCATGTTCATATTCTAGTTAGAAGCTGGGGAAAAGGGAGGAAAGGCATTTCACTACAAAGATCACACATAGTCTTCTGTTTGCATCTCATTGGTCAGCATTTAGTCACATGGCCATAACTACCAGCAAGGGAGGCTGGGAAATATAATGTTTTGATGTCACATTGCTACCCTTACTAAAATAAGGATATGCTACCAACAAAAAAATGAATATGGGAAAGGCCCCTGGCGAAGTCTGCTGCATCTGCCACTGTGGCTTTCTCCGACTTCTATAGACATTTCACTTCCACGTAGAGCACACTCTGATTCCCAAGGTGCTACTCCGCAATCACACCCAGTTTCTGCATCTCGCTTTTGTGTGGGCAGTCCTCACCATTAGTCCCAGATGTGGCTTCTTATGGCTGATGACCTATGAACTAAAAGGTCATTTTTTTCCCCCAATCTACCCTATCTTTTCTCCTTGGGAGGAAAGACAAAATAACCAAAATGTCAAATGTCAATCTTCATTCGGAAAAGGGAAGAAAGAGAAACACGGAGATCACTGGTTTATAGTGATGGACCAACCCTGCTAGGCAGGAATGAAAAGGCCTCTCCATCTGGCGGTGGACTGGGTTCCTTGGCTGGCTTATGTGGCCCCTGTCCACTGTCTCCAGGAGCATCTCCTTGAACTGTGTCTTCATAGGGTCCTTCAGAAGGCTCCTCTTTGTCAATCATCCTCCATTCCCACCTCTGACATGGGCACTAGAGAGCTGCTCCTTCCCAGAGGATGCATGATTTTGACGCTGTGCAGTGTGGGATATGGGATCAGGGAATCAAGCACATTTTAGGGCTTTTGTAGTCTCAGACTGGGCCTGAGATTTATTTAGAAATATATTAACAGTTCCTTCACAACTCCAATGGCCATAGAGCCTATTTGCTTCTAATCGTTATAATGTGCAAATCACTGCAGCCCCATTTCTTTGTGTCCAAATGAAGTTTTTAGGACTGAATATTCAAATATTTTACTCACTGGCTTCTGTCCCTCAGTCTGTCCCCCTAGCTATTAAATTAACGGCAACTATGATAACAGCCTTCCCCTGCTCTTTGCTAGTGCATTGACTTGCATTGCCTGCACAGAGTTCTTAAAAGATGCTTGGTAGAGGCTTGGGTCACAGTTTTATCTTCTGCTGGGGTTCCTGCTTCACAGTCCTCATTTAGAACTGTTTCAGTTTGGGGTACAGCCACATTTGGCTATTTTTTAGCTTTGTAAAAATGCTCATTTAACTTACACAAGGCCTGGGTTAGAAAACGTAGTATTTCCTTCATCCTCCATTTGCGTAAGGGCTGGCTCTAGTGGAAGCCCATCTCTCCCCTGCAGGATTTTGTGGAAAGTGACAAAAATGACTCAGACCACACCAACGTTCTGCTTGAGTTCCACCATTCTTGGATGCGATAGCCTCAGAAGGCACGTCATCTAACTTCCCAAGCAACAGCAGGCCCTCAACCAAAGGCAGTTGTGCTGAGGGCTGCGGGCTGCTTGTCTGCTCTCCCCTCCCCATTCTGTCCCACGCCTTACACGGAGCTCAGGCGGCATTCTAGCTCCATCAGACAAACTCTTCTTGAGTCAGAAATTGCAGCTGTCTCTTAACAGAAATCTGACCTCAGGTGACTGACACGCACGGGGTTGAAGTGATACAGAGCCTACAGTGCCCGCGGTCACTCTGCGATGAAGCTGCAGAGTCAGTGCTCAAACCCAGGACACCTGCCTCCTGTCCACGCAGCCACCGCACTGTCTTGTCGGGGCAGCTTCACTCAGCTTCAGTGTCTTCATCTGCGAGGAGGAGTAATCCCGTGCTGCCCCATGGGGCTGTTTCAGCAAGGAAATGAGATATGGCATAAAGTGTTATATGAATATTTGGTGTTATTATTAATGTCTTTTCTCATCTGGGAAAGTGATTTGCATTTTAAGCAGAACTTCAACGTTCAGACTTAAAGGAGTAACGTGGATGGGGAGAATTTCAGGCATTGTGCAGGCTGGCATTAGAAATGTTCATCAGAAATGGAGCACAGGCAGCAACTTCAGCCCCTAGAATTCCTCCATCTATGTCCCTTCTCTCCCTCCAACTCTTTCTGCAGCCCCTGTCCTCTCTCCTGCAATGGCAGTGAGCAGATGGCCTCCTGGTGTCTCTGGAAAGTTCCCATGTGGAGTCCTGCTTGAGATGAGCCAGAAGGTTAGGAAGGAGCCTACAGTCCCGGTGTCTCAGGGCCCAGGAGGTTTTTCTCATGGGATTTGGCATGTAGGAGATAGATGCCCTAAGAGCAGTCCTGTGGCTGGATGAAGGCTGGATGGCAGCACCACGCAGGTGGGGCGAGGTGCAAGGTCCCCATAGCCTGCCGCCTAGTCCCACTGGACAGCCCAGGGGTGGTGCTGAAGACAGGCTTCCTCTCTGGCCAAGCATCAGGTAGCTTGGCAGGTGCAGGCGGGACCCTCGACATGCCATATGGTGGACATTTTGAGGACATAATTAGCAGGCTTGAAGGTTGTGATTCTGGTGTGGGAAAGAAGGAAGCTGGGAGTTGAAAAGGTGGTGGGTGGAGCAGCACATGCAGCTGAGTGTGAGGAGTGCTCTGGCAATGCTGGGGTCTCCTCTTGGCTGGGG